GTCCACCATCTTCTTCTTTAGCTAAACTCACCCATGTCCACCATCTTTAGACACCTGGAAGCTAAATTCACCCATGTCCACCATCTTCTTCTTTAGCTAAACTCACCCATGTCCACCATCTTTAGACACCTGGAAGCTAAACTCACCCATGTCCACCATCTTTAGACACCTGAAAGCTAAACTCACCCATGTCCACCATCTTTAGACACCTAGAAGCTAAACTCACCCATGTCCACCATCTTTAGACACCTGGAAGCTAAACTCACCCATGTCCACCATCTTCTTCTTTAGCTAAACTCACCCATGTCCACTATCTTTAGACACCTGGAAGCTAAACTCACCCATGTCCACCATCTTCTTCTTTAGCTAAACTCACCCATGTCCACTATCTTCCGGTTTAGCTAAACTCACCCATGTCCACTATTTACATCAGCTAAACTCACCCATGTCCACCATCTTTAGACACCTAGAAGCTAAACTCACCCATGTCCACCATCTTTACACACCTATAAGCTAAACTCACCCATGTCCACCATATTCTCCTTCAGCTAAACTCACCCATGTCCACCATCTTCTCTTTAGCTAAACTCACCCATGTCCACCATTTTCCGGTTTAGCTAAACTCACCCATGTCCACCATCTTCTTCTTCAGCTAAAATCACCCATGTCCACCATCTTCTTCTTTAGCTAAACTCACCCATGTCCACCATCTTTAGACACCTGGAAGCTAAACTCACCCATGTCCACCATCTTCTCCTTCAGCTAAACTCATCCATGTCCACTATCTTTACACACCTGGAAGCTAAACTCACCCATGTCCACCATCTTCTTCTTCAGCTAAACTCACCCATGTCCACCATCTTCTTCTTCAGCTTAACTCACCCATGTCCACCATCTTTAGACACCTGCAAGCTAAACTCACCCATGCCCACCATCTTTAGACACCTAGAAGTTAAACTCACCCATGTCCACCATCTTCTTCTTCAGCTAAACTCACCCATGTCCACCATCTTCTTCTTTAGCTAAACTCACCCATGTCCACCATCTTCTTCTTCAGCTAAACTCACCCATGTCCACCATCTTCTTCTTCAGCTAAACTCACCCATGTCCACCATCTTTAGACACCTGGAAGCTAAACCCACCCATGTCCACCATCTTGTCCTTCAGCTAAACTCACCCATGTCCACCATCTCCTTCTTCAGCTAAACTCACCCATGTCCACCATCTTCTTCTTTAGCTTAACTCACCCATGTCCACCACCATCTTCTTCTTTAGCTTAACTCACCCATGTCCACCATCTTCTTCTTTAGCTAAACTCACCCATGTCCACCATCTTCTCTTTAGCTAAACTCACCCATGTCCACCATCTTATTATTTAGCTAAACTCACCCATGTCCACCATCTTCTCTTTAGCTAAACTCACCCATGTCCACCATCTTCTTTCCCAGCTAAACTCACCCATGTCCACCATCTTCTTTCCCAGCTAAACTCACCCATGTCCACCATCTTCTCCTTCAGATAAACTCACCCATGTCCACCATCTTTAGACACCTAGAAGCTAAACTCACCCATGTCCACCATCTTCTTTCCCAGCTAAACTCACCCATGTCCACCATCTTCTTCTTTAGCTTAACTCACCCATGTCCACCATCTTCTCCTTTAGCTAAACTCACCCATGTCCACCATCTTCTTCAGACACTTGGCACAGACCCGGTGCAGGCATCCCAGCAGTTTCGGTTTCCTACTGCGAGTGTCGTACCGGTTGTAGCAGATTTTGCACTCCAGCTCCTCCAGCTTGTACACCAGAGACTGCGCCCATTTCTGCACCTGAACGCATCACGACAAACTCATGTTTAGGGTCTCAGAAGCAAGGGGCAGCACACTAAGTTCAGGGATCACAGATTTCCCTCCTGCTGACAGAGAGAATTGGCCCCACCTTTCCGTCCTGGCCGAGCTCGGCCTCGTCCAGCTGGCTCATCCCTTTGGTTTTTGGCTTCCAGCTGCAGGAGGATCAGGCAGGGCTCCAGAGTCCGTCACCCGACTGACAAAACTACACAAACAAACACAGGCTTACAGTGGGGGAAATAAGTATTTGACCCCTTGCTGATTTTGCAGGTTTGCCCACTTACAAAGAATGCTTATTTTTCCTCATCAGATGGTTATCAATTTTTATAAATTCATATGATGTGATTTTCTGGAATTTTCTTTGGGATTCTGT